AGTAGAGGAAAATAGTGTTTAGAGTTGATAAAATACATTGTCTAAAATGTCCAGTTTTTACCAATTATGAGATAAACAATAGGAAAATACCTATTCACAGTGGGGAATGACACAAAATAGATACTACCTGAGAGGTCTCAGATGTCAGTTTTAACAGACAAAGACTTCCAAGCATCCTTATAAATAAGTTTAAAGAACTAAAAAAATGTTTAAATAAGTAAGTATGACATAAATGCACATCAGATGGAGAATATCAAGAAAAATATAGACATTATTTAAGAAGCACCAAACAGAAATTCTGGAGTTGAAAAGTACAGTAACTGAAATTAAAAATTCACCAAGACTTTAACTAGCAAAAGACTCAATGAACTTGAAGCTAGATTGACAAATATTATACAATCTAAAAAACCAAGAGAAAAAATGAAGAATGACATTTAGAGAAATGTGGGAGACCAGGAAGCACAGTAACATATGTATAATGGGAGTACCAAAAAGCAAGGAGACAGAGAAAATAGAAGAAAAAAATACTCAAAGAAACAATGGTTGAAAACTTTTCAAATTTGATGAAATACATTAATCTACATGTCCAAGAAGCTCTGCTCTGGGTAGGATAAATTCAAAACCACACCCAGATACATTGTGCCCTAAAAATGCTTAAAGACAAAAACAAAGAAAATCTTCAAACAAAAATTAAACAATGTTTAATAAACATTATTGGTTGAAAACTTATTGTGTACAAGTATGGAATACTATGTAAACATTTAAATGATAAGTAGCTATATTTTGTTAATGCAGTATAATATTTCCTTTGCAAGTGAAAAAATCAGGTTGTAAAATATATATATATAGTATGTCTTTTTTATAGTAACAAATACATTTATATAGATATATAAAGCACATTACCTGTCAGTCAGAGTAACCACTCCATAGACAGTAGCAATTCTGATTCTGTTGCTGCAGTTGTATTGTGACCTTCGTAATACTAACCAGACTAGATATTATCTCAGATTTTGTATCAGTCATTTCATTCTAGTCTTGAGAAAATATATTAATACCCAAAGCTACTGCACTTGACTGAGATGTTTTCCTACCTCAGCTTCTGTTTAGTGAAAATAAATAACAATGACACCAGTTCTCACTGCCTAAGAAGGCATACCCTGCCCAACAGCTTAGTTGTAAATCCACACAAGAATTTCTCAGACCATGGGAAGGGGAAAGAAATGGGCTCTCTCACTCCAGAGCTTCCTTCACCAATATGGGGCTGTTGGCTGCTAGCTACTTGTAGGTCTCACATTAGCTACAAAAACTGCTGCCAAATGACCTGTATTTCTCTCTTTCCTAAATCTTTCACTTGGAAAATAGGCTTGTTTTCCACCTTGCTCCCTTTCCCTGTCCAGGAAATGATCTCTTGTGAGAATAATTTCTTAGTTCTGGGAGGTCAGGTGGGTGCTAGTTCCTCTCTGTTTTTTTTTTTTCTACCTATAGCTAAACTTTGTCTGACATTCCGCCCAACATCACTAAAGTCTGACTCCAGCGTTGAGTGTGAACTAGACTCCTACATTGTTCCTTATGTAACCAACCCTTGAACCAGATCTCAGGATTTTGCAAATCCTGAGAGCTTCACAGTATACTGATACCCCTTCTTTTCCCACTTTTCCCTTTCCCTTCCCCTTCACTTAAATCACCCAAAGAATATAGGGCCACAAGATCAAAGAACCATCTGGTTGACCTCTCACAACAAGATAGATAAGACCAATAATGAAATATTCTGTTTCTTTTCTGTTTAAATAGCACCATTATTCTAATAGTATTGTCCTTTGTTTGTTTCTCCTACCAAAATAATAAATTCTAACCATTCATAATTTAAATCAATTTAAAGAGCTGGCCTAGGAACCTAATTCATACATTATATTTTTCTTGTGAGGAAAAAAAGTGTTTAGCAATTGCTTATATAAATCAGCAGTATTCAAAGTATTGTCCTTAATGAACCTAATTATCCTAACTTTCCGAATAAGTGTTTATAAACTTTTGGAACTTAAGCTACTTTTAAGAGAGGGACTTATCTGTACTTTATTGCTATAAATAAATGAATCCCAAAAGGTTTAACAGATTGCAGAAAGAGAATAAGGTTACAATGGGCAAACATAAACAGATGAAATATAATTAGTATTATACCAATTCTTCATTAAGTGTTAGAAATATAATATGTACAGCTATTAGTGCTAAAACAAAACACCTGTCAATTATTCACAAGTGTTTCCAATTGTAAGAAAATATTCCACAGTAAACAGATGCAACACACTGAGATTCAGAAAAAAAATTCTCAACCCCAGTCAATCTAATTTTTCTAAAAGTGTCTCCCAAAGATTACTCATCACACTTAAGTATCTGCCACTATAATTAATAGTTCTCTGTTATTCTTTCCACTTTAGGTTCAGCAATAGAAATTTCATTACTAGATAAGCCCGTTTTGATTCAGATACAACCAAGGAAATTACTACATTCATAATAAGGTGGTTATTTGGGGTCAGGACAATGATAAATCCTTAGCTTGTACTTGCTGAACAGTTAATAATCTCTGCAAGGAGAGCTCACCTAATGCTCACACAAAATATATTAAAGTTCTCCTGCATTTTTGTATTTGGGAGGTTTTAGATTTCTTAAGTTTTGCCTGAGTCAGATATTATTTTTATAAACCTAAAACATTACAGCAGTACTATTCTTATTATTCTGTTATTTCTATAATTCTGATATTCCTGATAATTCCTATATTCTTTATGACAGTCCTATAATTCCCATATTATAAATATTGCTGTAATTTTTTATGCAATACTAGCAGCAGCTTTTTTTTTTAAAAAAAGGACTATGATAGACACAACTGAGACAAAAAGATCATATACTTTACTCCTCTGTTTGTGGGTATTGGTCCCCAAGTTTCTGAGGAGACACATCTGACTTGGCAAGCAGATGTAGATACCTGCCCAAAAAAGCCAACTTTATTGCTACATGTAATTCCAAAGGCTTAACAGTGGGCTTCATAAATTAATTTATTCTTAATTCAAGTGATATGATGTAAACATCTTTCTGGCCTAGCATGTAATTTTAATCATGAATAAATTATATATTTTAATCTATTTTTTTATTTTCGGAAGATGTTTATTTATTTATTTATTTATTTATTTATTTATTTATTTATGAGAGAGAGAGAGAGAGAGAGAGCGCGCCAGGGGGTAGGGCAGAGGGAAAGGGATTAGCAGACTCCCAGCTGAGCAGGGAGCCCAATGTAGGGCCCCATCCCAGGATCTTGGGATCCTGACCTGAGCTAAAGGCAGATGCGTAACCTGACGGGGCCACCCAGGCACCCCTAAATCTTTTTTTTAAGATTTTATTTATTTATTCATGAGAGATACAGAGATAGAGGCAGAGATGCAGGCAGAGGGAGAAGCAAGCTCCATGCAAGGAGTCCAATGTGGGACTTGATCTGGGGACTGCGGGATCATGCCCTGAACCAAAGGCAGACGCTCAACCACTGAGCCACCCAGGCATCCCACCCCTAAATCTATTTTTAAATGTCCATAATAATTAAAAAAAATTAAGTATACAAAGAAATATAAATATGTAACTCAAATCCAATCCAAAGCCCAAGAGTAATCTCAAACTGAAGAAAGCACTCTAAAAAGAGCAAGAAGACTTTTCTATGGGGGCAGGAATGCTATTATTTTTTATTTTTATACCCTAAGGGCTATTACACAGTCATTGGCAAATAGTAGATGCTCAATAAGGCAAAATTTAAAGAAACTCATTCCCCCAAACATACCATTGTGGGTTTTGTCTATTATTTTGGTTTTGGTTTTTTGGGAGGGTATTAGGGGAAGGCTATGATAGAGAAAATAGGGTAGGTAATTTGGAAAAGACCATCAGGGTAGAAACAGGCTAACAATGAAAAAAAAAAAAAAAAAAACCAACAACACTGAAGAACCCAGAAATGAATAATCACAAGAGTGAATTGAAAGGACAAAATGGATTGCTATCTGCCATAGCCAGAGTAATGTTGACAGTGTTCTCTCCAACTTGGCAGGCACCAGGACAAGAAGAACATGAGTGACGACCCTTATGAAAATCCAAAGGCATATCCTCTGTTGTGCTTACTTTTCCCTAACCACAGGAAAGGTAACTTTCAACTTTATCCTCTTTAGAGGAATGAAGCAGACATAATCTTTCACATCGCTCATCTTTGAAAGCTCAGAACTACTTCAGTTGATTTGCATACAATAATTATTTACTTAATTAACAGGCTCTCAGCTAGACTGTCCTTTCAACCCTTAACAAGCCGAAAATTATATGATTCCTCTTCAAAGGAGAAGAGATTTTCCCTAAATAGGAGCTATTGCTAACAATAGAATACAATTTTCCACATGGCTTCTGCACTGAGATGTAAACTGGTTCCATGACAAGGAATGAGAAATTCCTTTGGTACGAGAGCTCAGATAAATGGAGAAATCTCAGATGCATCCACCATTGAAAACCTATAATTTTTAAATTGGAGTTTATTCTTAAATGCTAATATCTTCAATAAAAATTTGTATAAGCAACAGGAAGAAAAAAATAAAACCATACATTCCCCACAGAAATGGAAGTTAATCTTAAATAAATAAAAGCACAGTGTTTAGGATTACAAGTACTTTATTTAATAGGCCAGCAGAAACCTATCAACATTTAGTGTTTATGATACATTAAGAACTTTCCCTTGTGGCTCAGGAGGAAAAAAAATACAAACCAACCAATTAATCTACAAATAAAGAGAATTTTTGAAATCAATATAATGGAAATAATCAAGTTCCAAATCCAAAAAGCTTTCCTTTACTCTGGTCAAAGAATGACTCATCCTTCAAAAGGATAAAATGAGTGGATGGAGCAAGTAAATGAGCCTAAAAACAAAACGCATTGTTCTCAGTGCAGCAGATGTATACATCATCTGGACTAGCCCGCTGCCCACTCACCAGATGTCCGACTTTGTGTTGTAGCCTTGGTGTTTCAGAGCCTCCGGACTCATGTAATGTGGAGTTCCTGTTAAAGTGGTAGCTAGATCACAGGATCCCATTAGGAGTCGAGAAACTCCAAAATCTCCTTTTTAAAAAAAATGTCATTTTTATGAATACCTTAAAATGATGAAAATCAGTCCAGAAACTAACAGCTGTCTAATTTGACAATTTTAATATGCTATGACTCATACCATTTTAAAGGGAAAGAAAAGAAAAATGATATATTTTAAATTACACAATGTTGGCGAATAGCATTAAAAACATACATCTTATAGGAGAAGGAAGACTGAGCCAGGAAAGTGAATTATGTAAGCTAAAGCTTTTTATTTCTGGAATTATGGAGAACCAACAACTTGAAACAAAAAGCTATTTATTTCAGGTCTGCCTAACAACAACAAAAAAAGATTCTAGAAGGCTGAATATAAGGATTTGCTATTTCATCCAAGGGGGTAGAGTTCATCCTTCATTTACAATAAAGAAAAAATTTCAAATAAAAGACCTGAGACTTTTCAAGAACATGACTATAAATATTTGAATCCATTAGCTTCTCTTTACTCCTCTAGTTTAACTAGCTACATGCTTTTAGGCTTTCCCTCTCTAAGGACATCTTACAGGAAGAATAAACAATCCAGTAACTGTTATGAGTGGAGGTACAGTTCTAATGAAGAACTAAAAATTAACAAATCCATGATACTAATATTTTATTATCCATGATCACTGCTAATTGCTTGCGATAAAACAAGTGGGAAACCTGCACTAATTAATCAAGCTAGTAAGACAACTCTAACTACTTGCAAAGCGTCTGGCATGGAGTAGGAACTCCGAAATTATTAGTTCAATCTATGAAGTACGTAGCAAATGTCTTACACTTCAATTTATATCAGATACTCTGAAACAAAATAATTGGGTTTTGTTGGCTCCAACCAGGTAGAAACAAAAGTTTCAGAAGTTAAAATACACCAGTGATTAACACTTCTAGGTACTATATCGTTCAATGCTATATACTTGATAACACCTAGAATATATTCTCCCACGTTTCTGGAACACATATGTTTTAAAATCATACCAATTTTAAGCAGATTGTTTTTCAGAAATATATTCTTCGATTTCAAGTCTCGATGAAGTATCTTCCTACAAAAAAGCAAAAAAAGGATATAAAATTTCATGCAAAATATAAAATTTTTGATTTTTATGTATGGGTATATGTGAACTGGTAAGTACACAGTCCCATGGATATATCTTTCAGTGTTTAAAAGCCGCATATCCACAGGATTTTCTAATTCCCCTAAGGAAATAGGAGTTTAAAAAAAAAAAGTTTAAAAATCAGAAGAACATGTAGTTGGGAAAAGAGTGATGCAGTTTACACTATTTCAATAGGACAAATTTTATTATGTTTATTATGTTTATATAGTACTGATATAGTACTATATAAACTGATATATATAGTACTGTACCTACTAATTATACACTCAGTTGATAGATCAGTTATCATAAAGCTTTGTAATCTATTATATATAATCTATTACATATTGTATATAAATATATATTATATGTTAAATGTATTTCTATAATATATATTCTTATAGAACATATATAGTTATATGTTCTATAAATATGTTATAGATAACCTATTAAATATATTAACTCCAAATGTTCAGTTTTTATGTATTTGCAGATATAATAATGTGATGATAATATTTAATGATAGATAACATGTATAAGCCAGCAATATAAATTACGTCTGTTAAGACTTTTGTTTCTGGAACTATAGAGAACTGGACAACTTGAAAATGTTTACCTAAAAAACACCAAAAAATGTGGAATAAAGTATACAAATATCTTTACATATGCACATCGAAGCTTACAAGAAAATGAAGCAAATCCCTGAGGATTTATGCAAACAGAAAACTGAAAATCAGAGTAGGCTGTAGGTACTGATTTCTCAGCTGCCCTAGGGGGTTGTGCTGAGCCCAGTAACCAATGGACTGGATTTAATGGTCTCACAGAAACAAGAGCCAAGACCTTGTGAAGAATTGGAATATATAGATATAAATGTTGGATTCCCATATGTGGTTCGTACCTTATCTGAAAGAATGACCTAAGAAACATTCACTCACACGTAAACAAAATGACAAGAAAGTTGATCTGTATAGGTCTGAACTAATGAGCAGAGAAAAAAATCTCTCTCTTCTTATTCCGTAACCATATCTCTCTGCTTACTCACATTTGGGAGTCAAATATGCAATAGCTGTATGGCCTCAGAAGTCCCAAGCCAAGAAATTAACATAAAAATTGGTTCTCAACTGCTTATACCCTCTTGGGGCATCTGGCAGAAACAGATGCAAACTAAGAGTCAGCAGACAACACACAGTGAAATTACACTCCTGAGATTTTCAGATAATCTAAAAGGATTCAAACAATAAAATAAGTATATTTTAAGAGATTAAAATCATAAAATAAGGAAAGAGAACATCAGATAGAAAAAGGATACTCTCCAAAAAAAGATAATGCTGAGGTGAAAAACAACCAAATAGAACTTCTAGGGGGAAAAGTGATTAAAATAAAAAAATGCAAGAATAAAACCTCAGCTTCTAACTATGATGGAGTAAATTCATTTCACATCAAATTTCCCACTTTCCACGGCTGTACAGAGGACACCGAAAAATTTGAACAATATATAATCTGAGTAAGATTCAGAAAAACAACAACAAGTCTTTGAAGATATCAGAGATCAGCTAAGGCAAACTAGGACAGGCAAGATTTGAGGAGCCAAGACCCTGGAAAGAAAGGAAATTCTCTGAGCTGAGCCAAACACTTTACATGGTGTGTTCCTCTCAGGGCAGTCGACAGAAGGAGAATTTCCTGACCTCAAGCTTGCAGCACTTTTCCTGGGTTCAGAGTACAAAAACTACAGTTCAGAGCTACAAAGGCAGCCAGGACTCGAGGGGAAAATTTTCCAGCAAAAAAGGGAACAAAAGAGAAGTGAGTCTGATAGGCTACATGGCTTGTACTCCTGGGGCACTTACTGAATCCTATGTTATTTAGGGGGAGACATTAAGGAGAGGGCAGCTGCTAAGAGGTTAGAAACTAAGCAGAGCTTTTAGGAGATTCACAAAGATGAAAGAGTCTTGGAAACCCTCAAAGGTTATTTCTCAGGTATAAAGGCAAACCGGAACTAGACCAGCCTTCACAAAATCTGAAAACAGCCTTAAACCAACTCAGTCCCTGATTGATTCAAGGTGATCTACCTTAACTATAACTACCACTCAGAAAAAAATTAGATCCTCCAGAAGAAGAGTGTATCACCCAACATCTCTCGACTATTTCATATATATTGCCCACCATTCACTCAAAAACCAGAAAAAGAAAGCAGAGAAAGGAGAAAAAGGTGTGTAACAAAATACAATGGTAGGAATACATTCCATATACTGTTACTCACAGTGAAGTAAAATCATGAATTAAAACACAGAGAAAAAGGACTGTTATAAAGAACACACACACACACACACACACACACACACACACACATACAAAACACATAAGGACACTGGTTGAAAGCAAGAGGATTGCAAAGAAATTCCAGGCAAAAGAAAGTTGGTAAAAAGCAGTATTAGGTAAATTAAGGATAAATAGTATCACTACAGGGGCACCTGAGTGGTTCAGTAGGTTAAGCAACCAACTCTTGATTTTGGCTCAAGTCATGATCTCGGGGTTATTGAGATCAAGCTTGGTTGGGGCTCGGCTGGGGCTCCACACAGGGCATGGAGCCTGCCTGAGGTTTTTTCTCCCTCTCCCTCTCCTCACCTGCATTTCGCCACCCTACACATGCAGAGGTACTCTCTCTCTCCCCCATCACAAAAAAAAAAAAAAAATGGAGGAGGGTATCACTACAAAATGAATAAATCAATAATTTATTGGGTATTTATTTATTTATTTGTTTGTTTATTTTGAGGTGGGGAAGAGGGAAAGAGAGAATCTTAAGCAGGCTTCACACCCAGGGCTCAATCTCATGAACTTGAGATCATGACTTGAGCAAAGTCAAGAGTCGCACGCTTAACCAGCTGAGCTACCCAGGTGCCCCAACTGAGAAAATTTTTAAATTCTGCAACTTATGACAGAAGTGTGCAACTTATGACAGAAGTTTAAATACATTATGAAAAATTAATAAAATTTAAGGAGAAATTGAAAAATCCACATAGTGGGAAGTTTAACATATTTCCCTCAGTGATTTATAAATTCAGTAGACAAAAAAGTTAATAAGGATATAGATTTTAGTAAGACAATTATAGATTTGAAAAACACAATTAGCTTGAGCTAATACACATAAATTGAGTATTTCATCAAAAAACTTAAAAATGCATGTTCTAAAAATGCATGGAATATCTTCAAAAATCAATAAACAAGTATCAACAGATTACAAAGAATCAGTATCATACAGTTCACTCATAGCACACATATGGTTCAATGAAGTTACATTAGAACCCTATCAGGTGCTTAGAACAGTGCCAGGCATTGGCAGTGACTGATCAAGACAGACACAGTCTCTGAGTTTATGAAGTTTTCTGGCAAGGCAAATAGGCAGAAAAAACAACTAAATGAGCGTATATATATATATATATATATATATATATATATATATATATTATGATGTCAGCTAACATAATGTTATTAAAATATAGTGAGAAAGGGGATAGATACAGGGTAGGGAGATGTTAGTTTATAGTTGAGATCAGGTGGTCAGGGAAGGCCTTAGAGAAAGTGACATTGGAACAGAGATGTGAATGAAGCTATGGAATGGTTGTAGTCATTGTTACTGTTACCACTCAGATTTTATTGTTATTGCTACCACCAATATATCAAAAGGGAAGTTGGGTGAGGCTATCAAGCAGAAATGAATGATGAATTATACGGAATGGTTTAAATTACATCATCCTTCCCCCTCACTCTTCCACATCCCACTCCCTGTTCAAGATCCTCCTGGACCCCTACTGTTGGCTGAATCAAGAACAGCTTCACATTTGGAGTCTTCCATTTCTAGCCTCCTCTTCCAACCTATTTATTCACACACAAAAAAAATCTAATGAAAGAATAAACATTTAGTTATATATTTGAAGTACCCTTTAAAAGGGAAAAAAAAACTCAAGAATAACTATAAGCCAAGAAAATATGGGCTAAGAAATTGTCACATCTCTGCTGAAGCCAACAAGGCACTTGCTTTATCTTAAATAGAGCACACATGCTTCTTCCTTTATGTCACTGCTCATATTAAAATGCCTTCCTCTTTCATCTCTGCCTCTCAGAATCCTGTCTGTCCTTCAGGAATGTATTGGATACAAACGTCATGTACCTCCTTGGAGTCCCTGATTATCCCCTTCCTTCCAAAGACACTGGTACTGGAGGCCAATTAGTCACTTGTCTGGGGATGCCAGACCCTCAGGCTCTTGCCCCATCTGGACTAGGATGAAATACCACATTGCAGGACATGGAATCAAGCATACCAATTGGCAATGTAAGTAACTAGATGACAACCTAAACGTGCAAGGGAGTTAACTCCTTTGGAATAGGAGACAAGAGGAGAAAGAAGCTAGGCAAACAGTTTCTTTTTTAGTCCCCAAGACACGCTACCCGCGTGCCTATAAGCCATATGAATATCCCTGCCAAGCAACCTGCTATTGTCTTTCTCCAGCTCTTTGTGAATTGACGGCCAATACAGTAACACATAATTCTCTGCTTCACATCCTCACCTCCGTTCAATCTGTCCTCACTTTCATTAACCTGGGTCTACACCATCCAAGGCAGGTTTCAATCCTTGCCCTGGGCTGTTTCCTAGAGGCCCAACCTTAGGAAAGGATTCCACTATATATATATCACTTTCTGCTAATTCTTAACCACCATTCCTTCTACTATCAGCAAATTAGATATACTCTCCTACTTCTGTTCTTCTTTTCACATCATATTCTACAATTGACCAATCACTCTTGCTAAATTATAAGCTCTACAAGATCTGTATTCTACCTGACTATATTATTCCTGTAACCTATAAACATTTAATTAAACTAGTAGGTTAAACTTGATTGAATCCTTGGATTTACATGTGCCTGAACTTTTCAAACCATTTTTGATTGTTATTT